CTCTTTCCCATGTACTCTGTGAATACCACTTGGCCCAGTGCTTAATGACAGGCAGACTGGGCTCTATTTTCCTCCTTGGGATTTTCCTTATGAAAAGAAGCAGCTGAATGTTTTTCTCTTAGAGGGAACAAAGACACAAAGATTCCAAATCCCATTTAGTGTCACAGTTTGGGAAACAGAGCAAAGACCAGGTACATACCATTTAGGAAATCTCTTTGTGTGTCCAGGACCTGGTTGATGTCCTGTACCCAAGCTTGCTGAATTTCTGGATTAGCTGCTTGTAAAATCACTCTCTCTGATGTCTCCCGGCTCATTAGAGCAAACTTGCAGGGATCATTGTCCACATTTTCTTCAATGATAAGGTAGTTCATCTGAAACAAGCCAAGGTAAGCATGTGTTATATGGAGCATGAGTTAACATTACTTAAGAATCAGAATAAAATTGTTGTGAAAAGTTCCTGAAAATAACTGAGTCCAATAACAGACTGTCAGATCATAATCAGAAGAATTTGCCTCATCTAGATTTAGACAGATAAATCTTAGGCTTAAATATGATGCTTAATCTTAAGCTTAAATATGATGCTTAATAAAGCTCTGACAGATGTACCAGACATCCTCCTGCCCTTTCTTGAATTACAACTTCTATTTTAAGGTAACAAAGACTTGACTGAAGTGCTAAAAATTTACTGTAACCTGTAAATAGAGTTAAAATGTTTATATTAAGATGTTAATAAAGTCTATCATTCCTCTAATAAGTGCTTACATTTCTTATCCTTCATGGGAAAGAAAGTCTCAGTCATTATTTGAAAAATGGAATGGACTGTGCACAGGGATATATGGTAAAAAAAGAGCAATTCTCCCCTGATGCTCCAACAGATGTTCTTATTTCTAGCAGATTACACTGTCATCTGTGCAATCACTTCACTTTACTGTAAACCACAGACGCTCTTTCTGGATGGCAATTTTGGCTCCTGTCCTGCCCTTGTGAGGCTTCTGTTTAAGTGTACCCATAACATCAACTTTTCCTGAGCTACTTATATCTATGAGAGTAAACAAGAAAAAGTTGGCATAGCCTTTCAAAAAGAGAGGCTTCACGTCAAAAGCAGACAGCTCCGAAGATTAAGGCAATAACGTCCCTCTAGAAGAAGTCTATCTCCAGTTGCTCTGAATATCTGTCAAGGTATGAAGAGATCCACTCCACATCTGAATACCGTCCAGCATTCCAACTGCAAGATGGAATGAGGCTCTTCCTTCTCTTCTGGGGGTCCCTGTGAAATTAGAGGGACAGGCAGGAACTTCTCTGACACAGGGACGAGGAAAGGGACAGACAGTGAGCCTGGACAGTGCTCTTCCTCTTGTTCTGAGCTCTTGCTCCTCTGGTTGATAGCCAAAGTAAGCAAGTCAATGCTGGTATGACTCCAGGAAAAAGACTTGTAGGTCAGAGTCCCTAACCTCCTATTTGTGTCTTAGGGAGATGCATTTGCCAAGGTTACCCACATAGGTATTTTGAGAATCTGACAGGTATCCAGCTGAGAAGTATCCAAGAAGAGATGTGCTATTTCTGAATGCTAACTAGCTCACTGCATAAAGAAGGGTTCTTTTCTTATGTAGGACATCATGATGAAGCTTCTACCACAGTCTGAGTGTGACAGACCTTGGAGAACAATATTTGTGAGCGTGATCTCCCTAACAGACCAGAACATCTGCATTTGAAGTCATACGCACTTCTTTCTTTAACGGAGAGACCTCAGTGCTCAGCAAAGGCTGTGACACAGAGGAAAGAAATGGGATCTCCAGTGCTGGCTAGCTCCTTCTGCTGCAGGGGAGGGTGCAACCACCAGAGAAACTGCCTACATCTCTCAGGGGGTGTCTCCCAGAAAATTGGACAACTGTGACTGCAGATGGTATCAAAGCTAGACAAAGGTGGCTAGTCAGTCCTGGTAATTGTTGCAAAGATAAGTTCAACCTACTCCGCGGGATCTTGTGAGTGTTTGAACCAAGGTCAAAGAAAATTGGTGAAGCAGACAGTGTAAAGCCTCCTCAAACTCCAGCTCATGAATTCAGACCAGATGCAATTTCAGAGCAAACGCAGGCTGAGGCTCCACTGCAAGGTGAGCATACCCGTGGCACAGAGAGGCAAGGAATGGTCCTGCTATAGGGAATGGTCCTGCTCTGCCACGGGCCACAGCTCATCTCTGTGGGAAAGCATGAGAGAAATGCAAAAGCAGCCAGAAGCTGAAGCAGGGGCTGGGAGGCAGAGTGTGAGAGCTGCCGGCACACAGACTCCATACTGCGGTGGGGGTGATGCACAAGGAGCCACGGGGGATCCCACACTTGCTGTAGGCTCTCAACAGGAGAATGAGCTGTTTGCCAAATGGAAGAAAAGACAGACTGGAAAATTATCACACAAAAATTTTAAACTCAGGCAGTGGGAACAGCATTACTTTCATAGGCTGTTTAACTAGAAAAGCAACTCATACCCTTGAGGCGAGCTAATTTTATTGACATTAGGAGAGATTTATTTTTCTCTCTTTATCTACAATATACAATTCAGGAATTGTTTCCTGCAGATAAAAGCCTCATTGTTATACATACAATAAACTGAAGTAAAAATGATTCATGTTATTTCCATGTCCAACTTTAATAAAGATTTAAATCAGCAATAAGATAAAATCAAAGCTAATCATCTAAATCAAGATGACTGTTTATTTGTACACTTTAGGTTTTTCCTTGATAGCTTATTATTTGGTTCGAAACTATGAAATATGCTGACTTGCAAATGGATATAGGCTCTTCAGTAAATGCTGCAGTTTCTGTCAGCCGAGAACCTGCCTTCATTTCAGTAAATATGCTATTTATCATAGTTATATATGATTAATATACATTGTTTCACCTGATACTGTTCTATTTCATATTAAGGTACCATTTAAAATTTAGAGCAAACATAACATTCTCCCACATCTCTTTTTAACCTGTATCTTTGACAAGGAAATCAATCCCATCTGGTTTCTCAGCTTTGAATGATTAAGACATTCAAATGAACCAGTGACTTTGCTCCTTCTTCAGGCACAGTAAAGGCTCTTCTACCAGGAGACATGTAGCATTCATTCACCTTAACTTACCATTGCAGAGTCTAACTTTGCATTTGTTAAACAAGCATAAAACTCCTAAAACAAGCAAACAAACAAATAAGTATTTTCCCTGGTTAATTTCAGTTTTTACTTTTAATCCCAGCCCCATAATCTGGGAAGATTATTTAAAACCAAAATTAATTTCTTAAAACTTTCTTTATAGATTAGCTGGGTTTATAATTCCTCATAGCCGCACTTTTAGAACTGTGGGTGTTTTTGTTTTTTTTTGAAATAGTTCTGTCTTCTTGCAACATTCACATTTGTACTAAGAGCCCTCCCTCTGTTAGGGAGAGTATTTCCAGTAATGTCACACAGAGGCTTAATATTGACTTACAGTTTGGCCTAAGGTGACTGTTTTGGATACTACACCTTCCCCTACCTTGATCCCCCTACCTACGATCGTGCTTAAAAGCAACTACTGTATACTTCCTTTGACTACTGCAGGCTTTGTAGCAGCATTTGCTAACTCAAAGCTATGAATGGCAGAAGACCTGCCCTGGCTGTGTTCCTTGTAAAAATTACCCAGTCGATTCAGACACCCACTGCTTTATTTAGAGACAGTCTTAAATGGCTTCTGATCCACTGACAGGGACCACTGAAATGCAAACGTTTTCTGCAAATTGTTGGCCACCTATGACAGGATGGACCAGTCTCACAGTATAGAAAATTGGTAAGATTTCCTTACGTGACTATCAAACATGCCTCTCCCTCTCTATTTCTTACCTTTATGCTTTTCTTGAACATGTAGCCTGGTGTTAAAGATCCTTTTCTAAGGAGTTCGCTGAAGATAACTATTTGCTCAAAGAGAAACACCCTACGCTCCTTTGGTCGAGACTGAACTCCAGAATCCTGCTCTGTCACGTAGAAGGTGTCCTGCTGCAGCAGCTTGCCTTGAGCTGTCAGCTTGCCCTGAGAAGCAGACAAAGCACCAACATTACAAACCCCGACCCACCATGATCCGACAAGACAATCTGCTATGTTTTGTGCAGTCCAAGTTTTCCAAGCAGCACTGAATTCATGTGAGACATATACCCTCTAAGTTATCAAGCAGCAATCTTGCAAATCAAGAGCTCAGTTTAAGGACAATAACATAGGTTTTCTTCAGTTTTATTGCCACTGATTGTGCATATAAAACCAAAAGCAAGAGTTCTCAAGTAGACTGTTTTGTATACTTAATTTCAAACACTGTTCCCATTATGTAGTTTGTAACTGTAGTGCCTTGGATTTCCTCTAGTCATGAGCTCTCCATCACCCCCTAAGCCAGGAGTCAATGACAAAATACCCCTGAAGGTGCAAAAAAAAGAACGTACCTGTTTGCAGGAAT